CATCTTAAATCATAATTGTATCATCAGCTAATTAGTTCCTGTAACATTAGAATGTATTTTCCGTTTGTAAATAAGACTGAAATGAGTGCTTTAGTCTATAACGAAGCAGTTGTAAAGTTTTGTATAAAAGGTTATATTATTAATCACTCGAAAACTTTGTGCTGATGTAGTCACAGTTCTTTACTATTCCTCATGCGATCTGTTGGTCAATTTTGCTAACGTTTACGTAATAATTTCAATAGGATCTCGACTACGTGCATATTGCCATATTGCAATCTAGCTAAGTCTAATTTTATTAGTGCTATGACTTCCTCGCAAATCAAAATCAATGGCGTTTTATTATTAGACACGTTATACCCGTACATTATTGCGTTTTAAAACGGCGTAAACTTTATCGTGTTGTGACCAGTTCGATGCTTAGGCAAATTAATAAAAGGCTGACTAATCTTGAAAACTTGATTTATTAAAGGGTAACAAAAAAATTGTAATCAACAAAAAAGTAAAAAAATATATATAAAAACAGTTCGTATGGTTATCTAAATATATAGTTAAATAGAACAATTACATGCCCCGTTTCTGGGTTTTCCGTGATAGGTAGAATTTAGTAGATATTTCACGAAGATATATATTGGATTTATATGATAATATGATTAAATTATCTTGTACTCGCCGGATGAATTTTTTCGAACCGACAATCATAAAAAGCATATTGGATTACTCAAAATTTCAAATTATGTAAGGTGAAAAAAAAAAAACTAATTGATATTGAGGATCAAAGACAAAAAGATGCAGATACCTAGGACGAAATAAACGGTAGTACGGCACACCATTACAATGATAGCGTTACATTATAATACAACGCTTGCTATTAAAATCATACATCGTACCTCTTGTTAGAACGAGATAAACATACTTAGCTTTACTTTACGTGTAAAAATGGCCGCGTTCAATGACGTTTTATTATTAAAATAAAAACAGTAAGTACAGTATTTACGCATGAAATGATGTATTTTTTGCTTTTGTCATTGTTCATGTGTAATGTGTTACTAAAGTGAAACTCGTGCAATTCCCTTGCTTTCTTGTTAACCCATCTAAATTTTATAATACGTCATTAGTGACAGATATATAATAATTTAGGACTTCAAGTATATAGTACAATGGCAAATGCATGTAGCTGAGATTGTATTAATATGAAATTATTACGTATCGGTACGTTAGTTGAATTGGCCTACTAGCGTGAATATACAGGGTTAGTCCCAGTGTTAACTTTATACATTTAATAACTAATCCGCGATGCAGGCCCAAAGTGGATTGGTGGGTATTAACGACTGCAGCTGCAACCGGAACCGGAACCAACCGCCCGAGCGTGTTTTACCAACTGCAGGGGTGCTCGAGATAATAAAATTTTTGGTCACCAATCCTATGACCTGACTTTGCGAAACTTTTTTAACCTTTATATCACAGCCGAATGTGCTTACCACTGAGCTTTCGAGCTTCTATAACATAAGTATACATTTTATTGATAGCAACCTAGGACTAATATTTTATTTTTATTATTATTTGTTTACGGACTATATATTATTCACACACCTAGCTTTTAGAAAGCTACTTCCACATGTCACATTCTAAAATATAGTACCTAGGCCAGTTTTCCTAATTATCTATCCTTGTCGTTTATATGCAGTTGTGTGACAGAGAGAGCATTCTGCTATTTGATGCATAGAGTATATGATACTATAATATTCATGCTCACTTATGAAAATATAGAGACTGCAGTGTTATTAATAAACGTAGACAATATTAATCATGTCAAGTTGTAATTTTTTTTTTTATAAAAGTGATTTTAATGACACGGTGTATCATTCCCTCGACTAGAAAAATTTTTTTTTCTTCACTAAATATTATACTAAAATAGATTTGCTAAGTGTTCGTTTCCAAAGTCTTATAATAATAACTTTGCCATATTTTTAACTATTTGTAAGCTATTATATATGTATGCCAAATGTAAACGTATACCGATTGTATACGATTATGTTTTTGACATTTGTAATCTTATTTTAATAACTATAAGGTATCAAATGCAATATAATAAGTTTTACAGGAGCCATTCTCATTGGCCGATATGTTATAATCGGTTTTTTATGTTTACTTTTGGTGTTTTTTTTTTTTAATATTGGTTAATACATAGTTATGTTGTTATGACCTTTATTTTCTTTGTAATAAGATTGTAATGCAAATAGTGTATTATTAATATCCTGATGTTTTTTGTTACCGTTTTATTGAATTTAAAATACTAACTATATGTAACTTTAAATATGGTGAGTCGTCTTGACTACATAAAGACTTATAAATACCAGAAGCCTAATTGTCTAGTTTTAAATTAAATCATAATCCCATTCCGTGACATTTGAAAGATACAAACTTCACGCTATAACGGGAGTTTCGCGCTAGTGTTAGTTATTACACGTGGTATATGGAATTCTTTATTTATTTAGTGAATATTAGCCTTATTTTCTATGTGGAATAAGGAAACATGGTGTTTATATTTAGTACCAACAGGTGGCGTTGGTTCGTTATATAGACAGGAAATGTTTGATAATATTTATTTACATATTAGAATTTTTTGCCAAGTTTGTTATATGAGAATCCCTAACGTGATGTGGCTATCCACGTGAAATTAACGGAGCTATTGAAAAACGAAGAACTACTTGACTTGTGACAGTGATTGCGATGTTTTTTTTGAATAGACGTTTATAATTTGGCTAAATATTTTTAAAAGCTGTTGAGTGAAAGATTGTGTTGAATGCTAAGTGCTATCATTCGACTAAATTTGTATTATTCTTAATACAAAATGCTTTAAAAATCCACTTGGGTCAATTCAGTCCTGTTAGGCCCTGGGTAGCTCAGTGGTTAGAGCAGTCGCCCGGATTGCGAAAGGTCGTGGGTTCGGTTCCCATCTCAGGGTGCCAGGGACCGAGTGGATTTTTTAAGAATTTTGTATTAAGAATAATTTTCAGTATGGCATTGTGAATGCTAAAATTAATCAAAATATAATTAAAAATTTTCTTGTTTCTTGATAATTCAAATCATCGTTCGTTCCAAAAGCGATTGTCATTTAAACAAGATAGGGATTACGATATATTTTAAAATTAGACAATAAGCCACTGATTTCTTGCTAGAACCAGTTGTTTGGGAGATAGTAATCATTTGTGTAGTTTTCCCGCCTCCGAGCTCGTACAGTTATTTTTACATTTTATAATATTTTATGGATATTTTTTAATAATTTTTAAAACAAATCATGTAAATAGATTGACTACCCATCCAATTCCAAATGCATAATACAGGGTGCAATAAAATTTTATTACATTTCTAAGATGTGTTTTATTTATTATTAATGTAATCTGAACGTTATAGTTTGAAAAAATTAAGCTCTTCAAGAATGAAAAGTGCGTTACACCACTAGCAGTTGGGTCTTTTTCTTCTTTAATGGCGTTGCCCTTGTGGATTTCGCCAGAATCCAGTGTTTCGTTCAGTTCACTTCATATTTTAGTATTTTTTAAACTCTGCTTTTTGTATGTTGGTTGAGTATTATAAAAAGTCCCATTTGAAATCTATTAATCTGAACTTGATATTGAAACGATATGGTTTTCAAAGAAATATGAAGCGAATGAAGTTATTGTGTTTAAATAATATCAATTATATAATTATTATCAATTATTACTTCGTGAGATTGATTTATTTAATTATGTACTTTATGAAGCTTTAGTTCACACTTCGCAGAACTAAATGTTTTAACTGTCACATCTCTATATATTTTTGAAAACTGCAATTTTTGCAAAAAACAGACATGTATTTCCTTAAAAAAAAATATATAATAATACTTTAAGATATAAAACTGAGTTAGTGCTACCGAATTCCAACCTCGCAATTCACGGTTCTAGTATCTATATTAGTGCAAAAAAATGTGTAATAAACTGCCTGTATAGTAAAGAAAAGAACAGGCAAAACAAAATAAAATCAAGAAGATACTGAAACAGTAATTTTTTAATAAAGTATTCTACAATATGCAAGAGTTTTTTGAGAAAACAAAGTCTATAATTTCTATACTTTTTTTTTCATTTTGCAACTTAATTATTTATCTTTGAGTTATACTTTGTATTTTAATTTTATATATATGTCGCATCATCTTTACGAAGATCGTTTGATTTAGTTTCTTTTATTTTAATTGCTAGTTACTCGATTACTTAATTACTCGACTGTAGAGAGAGCGTGATCATCGATACTTTTAATTTTATTAGAATGGTGACACTGACTTGGCAGTTCGTTAACAAAAACCAAGTTGCCGCCATTTTGGCACACATTCTGTTTCCGATCGCCGAGGAGTAAAGACATCCGACGACATCACGCTCATCTCGTTATATTTTCGTTTGAAAAGTGATGAAATCCACGTTGGTATACACGCCTGCAATGTTATTTTAAAGATGGTCCTCCGTTATGGACGATCTATAACAAAATATATATAACAAAACTACATATCGCCCATGAAGAGTCAATAAATGATAACTGATATTTTGTCAATTTTTGTTTAATTGTATTATTTTATATATTATTCGTTGTAAAACAACTACTACACAATAGTGACAAAGATTTTGGGTTCGTTTCTTATGTTTTTGTAAGATAAACAATAATTGCAATGTACTGAAAAAACTAATATAATAGATTTGAAACGTTTTTTTCGTCTCCTGAAAAGTTCCATTTTTGCAGTTATTATTTATTGACTCTTCATAGACGGTATGTAACTTGCTGCGCTTTCCAATTCAATTCAAGATTAAGCGGATGTCGTTTTCGAAGTGAATTCGATAACCCGAGTGAGTTCGAATTCGGGTTCGGATTTTTACGGAATCGCTCTGCCGTTGATAGAGTATTACCAAACATACTATTGACTTATCGATTTTGGGCCCTAGAATATAAATCTTAAGTGTAAGCGCAATTTTATTTAACTTTTGACTGTTGCTAGATCGCTAGCAATTTTATTCGTCAATGACTAGTTGTTTTCTCGACTTTGCCTACGTAAATTGTTGCCTCAATAATGTAACCAAGAATTTTTAAAATAGGTCTATTAGTTTTGGAGCCTATGCAATTGAAACAAACGATCAAATCTTTACTGTTTAATATTAGTTAGATATTTGTGCAATATTATACAGTCACAATTAAAATGATAGGACAATTAATTAAGTATAGGAAGTAAAATTACATTTGTACACAATAGATTAACATAAATCTATATTGCAATACTTTAATGAATCATCACCAGCTTATTATTATTATTATTATTCTTTTTTTGGTCACCCATCTCGTGACCGACCCTTTCGAAAGTTGCTTAACAACAACGATCTTGAGCCGCGGCGCTTATCCGCTACGCTAACGTGGTACTACTTATCCACTATGTCACTTATCAAAATAATCTACCTACTTTCCAAAATATAGATTTATAAAACTTAGCCAAAAATATTTTTACCACAATGTAATGAAAACCCTAAAATGTAGCTGTATTAAAAATTGAGCTAAATGTGTGTGGGTAAATATATAATTATATAACCCTGCATTATGAGTTCGATTGACAATAAACTAATTGATAGTGACTAAATAGTTGGTTGATAAATATCGACGACTCCTTCCTTATCTCGGGCTCATTCAGTCGTACCGTGCGTGTGTAAGCAGATGCCCGCGTCTGTCAATAAAAACGTTACCGATTTCCGACTTCGCGAACTAATCACAAAATGACAATAAAAGTTTAAGTTTCTATATCTTTTTTTAATACAATTTATAAGTGTAATTTAATTTATAAGTGTTATAAAAAATAGTGCGACATTATGACGGAATTATAAAAGTTTTATCAATTCGGATTGGTGATTGGTATTTTTCGGTTGTTTTTGTTTTATCGCGGAATATTATAAGGTGAGTATTTATAAGTATGTTATTATTTTGCACACTTATCTGTATAGTTATCTATTCATACCTAGTTTCGAGAATTTACTATTTTTGTACCATATACCTCTTAGGCAGGTAAATTTTTATACTATACTATTTTATGACAAAAGTTTTGATTAATTTTTCGCGAACTGAATATATTTGTTTAAGAACATTCTTGGTATTACAACACTGACATCTTGCATTTCATTAACCCAATTAAAATAATAATTTAGGTTCGTTATTAAAACAACTTTTCAACTGACTTGAGTATTAATTATTATATTAGTTTTGTATTATATTTTTAAACGTCATTTATAGGTAATTAAAAATATATATGGTTTAAGTTAAAGAGACGAATAAGGTAGTTTTTGTTTTCAAAATAAATAAAGTCTTTGTTATTTTCTTATAATGTAGCTTTATATTGTTGAAAGAATTTTGAAATATACAGTCCAGCAGTTTTTGTGAATACGCAGTCGCAACATTTGAAAACCTTTTCTCCTAGTAATTAGTAACATAGAATATAAACCAGTTCAAGGCTGTTTTAAGAATTGATGCCAAATTATTAAAACAAATAAAATCTTTGTATTAAATGACCAAAATATTATTTAGATTTGAGGTTGATTAATATTGAAAAGCGCGTTTTTTTTCTAACCGGGAATCGAACCAGAGAAAGTTGCAAAGTTTTAGGAACCTAGTTGTTCCATCTTTATTATTTTAATGTTACACATACTTAAGATTGAGAAGTTTGTAAGTTGAAAGAGTAATATTGTATTTACCAGAATAGTTATCTATTTATTACGGAGATAATGTTTTTTTTTGTATACCTATTTTATTAGATCGTGTTGACATTCCAAGCATTTAATAATAGCCAAGGATATAATGAATCGATTAACTTTACATTATAATATTTAATAGGACTGCTTATACCTGTTTGAAGATTAATTACTACAATCTACATCTCTATATATAAAAGCGAAAGGTCACTCACTCACTCATTCATCACGAAATCTCAGAAACTACAAGTCTTAGGAGTTTCATATTATGCATGCGGGTTCTTTTTAGGACGTAGGTGTTCACCGAGAGGGGACTTTTTATCTTATGATGATGTTTTTATGGAATTTTCTCATATCTGGACTTAAAACTAAATAACGCGGGCGAAGTCGCAGGCAAAAGCTAGTATAGTATAAAACAAAGTCGCTTCCCGCTGTCCGTATGCTGAGTTCTTTTGAACTACACAACGAATATTAATGCAGTTTGCATTAATAAGTATACACAGTGAGTCAAGATGAAGGTTTATATGTAAAATACAAGACCGCGCGAACGATGCCGCTGACGTAAAACTAGTAGCAGATATAAAAATTTAAACTCGCTTACATTCTTTGTATAGTATCATGTATATCTGTAGTGTAGTTAAGTGCTTTTTAAGTGTAATTTAACAATTGCCAAATATCTAACGATAGGACATTTCCTGAGAAATTAAAAATTTAAAATGGCATCTGAGCAATCACAATCATCACCTGCTTTTTGATGTTCCCACTGCTGGGACTCCGGCCTTTCCTATGTTTTGTATCGAATCGAATAAGGAATGGGCCATGGCTCATCACGTGGGACGAGTGTGGATTGGTGGGTGCTTAACAACTACAAATGCAACAGAGATTAACAGCTTGAAGCACGTAAGAGTACGAAATATGTGTGTATTCATTCTTTATTGCATTTTAACACAATAGGCCGACTTAATGCCAAAGGCATTCTCTACCAGTCTACCAGTAAAAGATGTTGGAGTCAGGATGTTAGGCGATAAGAATAAAAAAAAACAACAGTGGCCAAAAAATTACTACAACAAACAAATTAATCCGTGTGACATTCAAATGGGGTCTAGCTAAAAATCAGCGACGGTCTCTTTTTGCTTTTAAGAAGTAAAAGAGATCGGCATAAATATCCTGAGCTAGACACCTTTGTGGTGCAACTGTGGGACACGCATCGCTTTACTACCTACTCAAATGTTATTATTTTCTATCTTTTATGTTTTCTGTTAATTTTAATTCTTTATTAATTGTCTGTAAGTGTCCTATGTGTGCCAAATAAATTGATTTGATTTGAAATAATAAAGTTTTGGTTATCTATCCTGTGTCAGGCGTTCCTATGGACGCGTTAACTACGCTAGCGAGCCGGGGTGCGACCACCTAACTATGCCATGACTCTAGCCATAGTTATGACATCTTAGAGATGTGTACTAGAATGATAAGTAATGATGATTATGGATTTGACGTATGTTTAAAGACTTATTCATCTATTGATTATGAGAATCCCAACCCCGCTTCTTGAGATTATCAGAAAACCTGCGGTTGGAAATGCCAATGCATTCCACTAAGTACTATGATAAATCTTTTACCGTCCATGCTGTACGCCTACGGAATGTGCTACCTTTGTCGATTAGAAAAGCTAATCCTCTTAATATATTTAGGAAACTTTTCAGAGAGCACTACCTATCCATGAAAGTATGTATATAGGTATCATATATTTATGTATGTATTGTATTTTATATGATAATAGATATTATATTATAGTATATGTAGGTCCATTATAAAATTAAATTATAATAAAGTAAATAACAATTGTCAGTTATGTATATTTATATGTACACCATCCACTACCCCATCGTCAGCAATGGCAACTTATTATGCATACGCCCACGCTTGGCTTTCGTATGGAATCATACTCTGGGGCAATAGTACAGACATACAAAATATTTTCCTTAAACAAAAAAAGTGCATACGAATCCTTGCCAATATTGACACTACTTGTAGTTGTAGACCATACTTTAAGCAATTTAAGATATTGACTGTGACTTCTCTGTATATATTAGAGCTTTGTAAATTAGTTAAAAAATATCCTGACTTCTTTACCAAAAAAAATGATATTCTGAGGAGATATCCGACGAGATACAAGAATAATTTGATACTTCCAAAATCACAATTGACTTTGCACAGTACGAGTCCCTATGTAATGGCAATAAAAACTTTTAATAGATTACCCCATAATTTAAAATTGAAATTAATATAAAAACGTTTGTAACGACATTGAAGCAAATTCTCATTGTTATTATAATGTCCAGGAATATTTTGATGACAAATTGTAATATTTTATTGCCGTTGACATACCATGTTTTTCTTTCTTCCTTGACAATTTAATTTATTTCTTGACAATTTAACTTTTGTGACATAATTTATAATTTTTTATTCTAAGCATTTGACATTTATTGTACTTAATTGAAAATTACCTGACAATTAACATTAATTTTATATACCTATTTATGAATATTTTTAAAATGAAAATTAGGGACGAATGTGAATTTAAATGAAATTTTATGAATGTAAGATATTGAGGAAAGTTAAGATATTTAAGATTTTATTTAAAGCATTTACTATTGACAATGGAATTTTAATTTTAATTTGCTACACCCTTACAGGGTGTCACATAAACTGTACCTAATAATAACACCTGTTTTACTATGTGACATGCAATAAATGAATTATTATTATATTATTAGGTAATTTTATATTTAACTCCATCCCAAGGTTGCCTGGAAGAGATCACTTTTAGTGATAAGGCCGCCAATTGTACGTGTACTGTTTTCGTCATATAAATGTATTTTGTCTTTGTGTGTACAATAAAGAATATTCCATCTATCTATGATTGTTATGTATTACTAGTTATCATTTGAATATAATTGATTTAGTTATTTTAAAATGAATTGTCACCGACGGAGCAGGCCACATATCAAATCTATGGTTGCATTATATTTAAATAAAAAAAAGGAGAATAAAATATTAATCCCTTTGCGTGCCCATAATTGGGTAAATGAGTCGATTAGAAACCCTATTACTTGTATTAGAACTTTACTGTACTACATTCGAGCGAAATAAACGATTGTTATTATACTATCATATCCTAAATTTATTCACTAAAAACATGTCCAAGTAGTATAACGTAATGAGATATTGCCATAACTTCGCTAAAAGATCGTATCCTAGCTAGATAGGCGATCGCACAGAGCATGGCGTCGAAATGTCATCATAAGTTTTTTTTTTCTTTTTATGGTATAGGGGGCAGACGAGCAGACGGATCACCTGTTGGTAAGTGATTACCGTCGCCCATTGACACTTGCAACACCAGAGGGGCTACAAGCGTGCTGCCGGCCTTTGAGACACAAATATGATCATAGGGAGGGAAGGGTTGAGGAGTAGAGGGAAGGGAATAGGGAGGGGTTGGGCCTCCGGTACCCTCACTCACACGACGAAACACAACGCAAGCATTGCTTCACGTCGGTTTTGATATTAGAAATTATGTTGAATGATAATTTTGTAATCTACATACACATTGGACTGATAAAATAGACGTCTGATTATTCAACTAACATATTAGACAAAAATACATATACTATATGTATATTATATTATATGTATTTATATGTATAGGTAAACAAAAAATATCTAAATCCGTTCAATAACAAAACTAATGTGATAGTAAAATATTATGATAACAATATGATAAAAGTGTTACGTGAAAACTTTTGTAAAACACGCAACTTTATAATGGAAATATAACATAAGAATATATAAAAAAATAAAAATTGGGTAATTCATGAGATTGTACACTGCGGCGGCAACTTCTCACTATCTGTTCCTCTCTATCCGGCGTGAAAAGAAATATAAATAGACAGATATACTATAATAACGATGGAGTTTGTAAAAGTCAACTAAAAAGAAGAAAGAATTAAAACTATAAAGTTATTTTTAATAGGGTGTGTACATAGAAAATTATTGTTTCTGTTGGTTTTATATCTACAAAAAAATAACGTCAAAATACGCTATATTTAGAAATGTGTAAACTACACCAAATATTGCCATATAAGTCAAAACTTGAATTCATAAAAAATATTTAAAAAAAATGCAAATAGTACTAACAGCTTTGTATTTTCACTT